ACAATTGCTGTTCCCTGCAAATATTTATTTGACTGTTACTTATATACATCCTGCCCCTTTGTTTGCTTTTCTGATTTTGAGGTTTGTCATTCAACTTTCTTGGCATCTTCTTCAACTGATTTATTACTTGGTGGTTTTCATTTACATATTGATCAAGCTTCCAGTTGTAACACTTTTCTTCTGTTGGGCTCTTGCTCTTTTTCTTTCTGTTTCTCCTCATTCTGTTAATTATTATTTTATTGCATTATTCTCTTATGTTATTGAATGTTGCCTAGACTTTTTCTGTTGACCTCATTTGATATCATTTCCTTTCTTCTTCACCTGCTCTTTCTAAGCCATTTCATGATTTCCAGTCCTTTTTTTTTTGGCTCTCTTGTCTTCTCTGTTTTGCTTGAAGTTTATTTGGCATCTTAAGCAGTTGGGGACGCGGGTGGTGCTGTGGTCTAAACCACTGAGCCTCTTGGGCTTGCTGATCAGAAGGTCGGCGGTTCAAATCCCCTCGACGGAGTGAGCTCCCGTTGCTCTGTCCCAGCTCCTGCCAACATAGCAGTTCAAAAGCACGTCAAAGTGCAAGTAGATAAATAGGTACCGCTGCGGTGGGGAGGTAAACAGTGTTTCTGTACACTCTGGTTTCTGTCACGGTATCCCGTTGCACCAGAAGCGGTTTAGTCCTGCTGGCCACATGACCACATGCTGTCTGTGGACAAATGCCAGCTCCCTTGGCCTGAAAGCGAGATGAGTGCTGCAACCCCATAATCACCTTTGACTGGACTTATCCATCCAGGGGTCCTTTACCTTTTTACCTAGCCCAATATATTAGAATTTGGGAGATCCAGTGGTTGAAGTAGCCAAGCCACATTCTTGGTGAGTTAAGGAGCCTAAGCAGGGTCATTAGTATAACAAAAGGAAGTAGCTTTGTGCCAGAGGGCAAATGGGTGGGCATAGCTGGTAGGGAGAAGGACAATAGGTATAGTTGAGTTGTGTGAGCTGGGCTAGAAGTAGGCAGGACAGTGAGTGAGAGCCATGCTTGATTTCTGCTAAAAATCCAAGGCTATGGTTATGAGGGAAGCAAGGCCCTCTTGGGGTGTTAATGCTGTGAACCCCTCCATCGTAGGCTCATGTTGTATATGTGTAAATAAACCATATATCATAAAGACACCACAATCTGTTGTGTCTCATTTTGATGGAAACATGAACCCTGAGTAAGTGCCTATAACCCCAGGAAGCTTACACTGCTTGGAGATTGATGTGGAAGGCAACAGTACCATCCAATAACATTTTTGGGCTAAAGCATACTTTGGACATAAATAGCCTCTGCATGCTATTTGCATCTCATAAGTTTATAAGGAGTTTTTGCAGTGGTGCCAGATTCAAAACCACTTTCAAAGCCAACATGACTAACTTGGGCCTTTTAAATTTAAGGAAAGGGGAGCAGCAAATTGCACTTGGATGTTTAAATAGAGCAGTGTTTCTCAAACTTGGGTCTCCAGCAGTTTTTGAACTACAACTAACATCATTCCTAGCTAGCAAGGTCAGGGATGATGGGAATTGTAGTCCAGAAACAGCTGGAGACCCAAGTTTGGGAAATACTGAACTAAAGCTTCCAACCTTACAAAGGGATTCAAACGCAGAGCTGTCATCTTCCCTTTGTTGATGAGATCCTCTTTGAAGTTCATGTAGATCTTGAACCAGAATGACAATGTTTTGGTATTAAGACTGAGAACACTTTCAGATCCATGCTTGTTTCTTCTTTGTCCTACAACCAATCAGCTACCTACCTCTGTTTAATCATTAGCATAATTCAACTGTGGAGAGGAAATTAATTAATGTTGAAGTAGTGTTATTGACCTAATGTCAAACTCTTATAGCCAACCTACATTAATTTAACAAAATTAATCAATTCAACAGTAAATTAAATTTACTTGCCACACTCCATTCAGGACAAAATATGTTGTATGAATGAAGAGTGCAAAGACTCAAAGAATTAAAAGAAAAAAATTGAGGTGCCTATATCCTTTGAAAGGAAGCTCTGAGAAATTGCGCCAGCACGACACTCCCACAGTGTGTTGCAAAGTTACCACGCCATCCTCCACTCCTGCGTGGTCTCTCCACTTGGAACATTCATGGCTTGGTGAAATGAATATAATTGATTGGCAACTGTGTTACCACAGTAACTTATGACTAAGGCACACATTCAGGGCTTGGCCACACTTACCTTTGCTCTGTGCCATAGGAGTAGCCAGGATTTTTGTTGGGGCGGGGGGGGGGGGGCAGAACCTCAGATGATTTGTATTGCTTTTGATTGATTCCCCTCTGCCCCCCCCCCCCCGGCTACGCCCATGCTCTGTGCTTTCCAGGCTCAGATCTGCTCTTTAAAGCTCCATGTCCGAGGGCTCTTTCCTTTACCCCAGAGCTTTCCCTGCAGAAACAGCAACTCAGGTTTCCCACGGAGTGCTCTGATTTAGCAGTAAAGAGCAGGTTTTCGCAGAAAAAGCTCTGGAGAAAAAGAGCACACACACTTGGACATGGAGCTTCAAAGCGCAGACCATGCCTGGAAGGTGTGGAGGAAAGGTAAAGGTGGGAAAACCCTCTGTCTTAATGATTAAGAAGGAGCTGAAACTATCCTGGCATCTATTCACATGCATCCCTAGGAAGGGCCACCACGGTTGTTTTTGTTTTAAGGCAAAAGTTAGAGTCCCTGTTCTCTTTTATAGCACTCCCTGCCAAATTTATATGCATCGGAAAGCAGGCAAAAGAGTGAGACTGGCCACCCTGGCTTGTCAAGCTGGTTCCTGGCTCCTTTTCTTTTATGACTTATCTTCTGCAGGCAATATGTGTAGGTGGCAGGGAGTTCCTAATTGGGGAAAAGGTGTGCTGCTTATATCCCAGCAGAAGCATCTTGGAATGCCACCCATTTTTTTATCACACAGGTGCTGGAGGCAGCTCAAAGAGAGGGAGACAATATTATAATTAACTCAAGATTGTACTGGCTGGTGCTGCTCCCATTCCTTCCTCACTGGAGGAATAACCTGTTGCATTTGCTAGGAGCTATTGCAGAAGGAAAGGCAACTGTGTGCACAGAGCAGAGACAGGTTGATGAGCACGCTCCTGAGAGCTATGCTGCGCAGAGAAAGCTCACATTCAGAGGGGTGGGCCACCACAGCATAAGCTTTTGGACACCTCAAGGAGGGGAGAGAGAAGACTGAACCAGTTGGCTTTTGGGGGGAATTCCACGGATGGCTTCACTATTCCAGCACCTGCGGGTGCTGCTGTGGAAGAACTGGCTG